GTCGAAGTCTATGCCAGTTACCACTTTCTGGCATAAGGACCTGGAGAAGGGGAAGAAGTGGAAGGATCGTACCATCTCAGGCCAAGTGAAGGCCAAGGATCATATGATCCTGACGTTAGAGGAAGGTGGTACTGATGAGGTCCCGTATGATCAGATTGAGTGGGGCCTTGAAGATGATGGCAGTAGTGTGGGGCAGGGGAGGTCTTACGCTGCTGTCGCGGCTGGAGGGAGGCCGCAAGGAGGAGGAGGCTAGGGCCAAAGGGGCCAGGCCATGGGAGGCCGAGGACCGGGCGCACAGGGGGTTGGCGGACAGGGAATCCGCCAAGCAGGAGGTAGGGGTCAAGGTCCCCCGTCAAATCGCCAGGGTAATCGGTCCCCACAACGAAGAGGTGGAAGGGCACCTCAAGGAGGTTGGCACCCAGGCTTGCCATAGGGCAGGCCCTGGGAAGACTTGGGCTTGGACCGACAATTATGGCAGGAACGCGTGAACATGGGTCAGTGCGTATTTTGTGGTGACCCGGCGCACGTAATTAAATTTTGTCCTAAGTATAGACAGGCCCGTTGGGCTGCCCAGCAGTCAAAAGGCAGCCGCTAGTAGGGATCGCAACTGCCCCTACTTCAAGGCCATGTGGAGAAGTGAGCGCGCGCGAACAGGACACTCCCAACCCACATGAGCCTATGGCAGAGGTTGCAGGCCAGTGCCTAGATAGCTGTCCAGAGACTGCTTGTGTTAGTGTCTCTTTAGGCACGTCCCTCACAGGTGTGGCAGAAGAGTTAAAGGAGAGGATGCCAGCCTGGGCCACAATGAAAAAGGAGAGTAAGGGACAGCTGATCTTAGTAGATGTAGAGGTGTTAGGAGTAGAGTAGGGGCCCTCATAGACTCAGGGGCTAGAAGATCAGGTTTTTGTAGTTTATGCTAGACGTGTCACTAAGGGCCAGGAAAAGTCTAGTTTCACAGATCGAACAATTGCCAAGCTGCTGGAAGAGTTCCAGGATTTGACTGAGTCGCCGACAGGAGTAGTGCCACGACCCATCCAACACAGGATAGAGATAGAGCTTGGCAGTAGAACTCCTAACGGTGCAGTGTACAGGATGTCCCCTAGAGAGTTAGAGGAGCTTCGCAAGCAGTTAGACGAAATCCTTGAGAAAGGTTGGATCAGGCCCAGTTCATCTCCTTTCGGAGCACCCGTTTTGTTTGTCCCCAAGAAGGAGGGAGAACTTCGTATGTGTATAGACTATAGGGGTTTGAACGCGATCACAGTAAAGAACGCCGAGCCGCTGCCCAGGATAGACGATCTTTTAGATCGGGTGCAGAGTTGTAAGTATTTCTCTAAGATAGACTTAAAGTCCGGATACCATCAGATAGAGGTTCATCCTGATGATCAGTACAAGACTGCGTTCCGGACTAGATATAGGCATTATGAGTTTATAGTGATGCCCTTTGGACTAACCAACGCGCCAGTTACTTTTCAGCGTTGTATGAACGACCTGTTTAGACCGTGGTTAGATAAATTTGTAGTAGTCTACTTGGATGATATCCTAGTCTTTAGTAAGACTCTTCAGGAGCACCAGGGTCATCTGAGGCAGGTCTTGGGGAAGCTTAGAGAGGCTAACTTCAAGATCAATGCGAAGAAGTGCGAGTGGGCCAAGACTCAAGTCCTGTACTTGGGCCACGTATTAGACGGAGATGGCATTAAGCCCGAGGACAGCAAGATAGCGGCGATTAGAGATTGGCCGACGCCCCGCACATTGACAGAGTTGCGGTCGTTCCTAGGATTAGCTAACTACTATAGGAAGTTCGTAAGGAACTTCTCTACTATCGCCGCTCCCTTGCGCAGGTTGCTGAAGAAAGAGGCAATCTGGCAATGGGACAAAGACTGTACGTCTGCGCTAAAGAAGTTAAAGCGCGCGTTAATAGAATATCTTGTCCTCAAAGTAGCAGATCCGTCCTTGCCATTTGTCGTTACCACGAACGCAAGTCCGTATGGGATAGGCGCCGTGTTGCAGCAAGACGACAGCAATGGCTATAGCCCCGTAGAGTTCATGTTAGCGAGGATGCCCTGTGAGAAGGTCGCTACCTCCACGTACGAGAGAGAACTCTACGCTCTCAGGCAGGCTTTAGACCATTGGAAGCAGTATTTGCTTCGGAGGCACTTCAAAGTGTATTCCGGCCACGAGACACTTCGTTGGTTAAAGACACAGGCCAAGATGACACCTAAGTTGACTACGTGGGCCGGAGAGAGAGACCAATTCGACTTTGAGCTCAAACCAGTGAAGGGCAAGTACAACGTAGTTGCGGATGCTCTGAGTAGGAGATCAGACTACTTTGGAGCCGTAGTACACTATCTGGATATAGGGAGAGACCTGCAGGAGAAAGTGAGACAAGCGTATACGCAGGACCCTATCTATAGTGACCTCCTAAAGAGAGTTAGAGAGGCCCCAGAGACAGAACCAAATTACCGCACTACAGACGGGTTGCTGTTTGAGAAGACTAATGTGTTTCATCGCCTGTGCATTCCCAACGGCGAAGAGGTTCGTAGTCTGATACTAGGGGAATGCCACGATACTGAAGGGCATTTCGGTTGGCAAAAGACATTAGCCAACCTGATGCGTGCGTATACGTGGCCAGGGATGAAGAATGACTGCATAGAGTATGTCCGCAGTTGTAAAGTATGCCAGAGGAATAAGTCTACTACACGCGCGCCCCTAGGTCTTCTCAGACCCTTGCCTATTCCGGATCAGCCGGGAGACTCAGTGTCTATAGA